CACCGAATATTTTTGAAAAATTCTGTATGTTAGGTCATTGTGACGTCTATCTCGGAGATATTTGCTTGTAATATGTATGGTTGGAGATTTAGTTATTCAATTGGAGATCATTTGTGCTTTTCGGGAAAAAATTTCTCTCCGACCTCAAAAATGCATGAGATCTAAAAATTTTTGCTTTAGTGTTTGCCCTTTTATACTAATTAATATCGCATAAAAACACAATACCATTGCTTAGTATTCTAATCGTCGGCAACAAGACGAATTGAAAGGAAGCATTAATATCACCCAGATGCTGAAAGGTGCTATTTGCTTGACTTTCCTTTGATATACTGTATGGCAGGGCCCCTGCGAACTCGCTGCTTGTTTTCTTGCCAAATCCTAAAGCTGTCTTCTGCTCATTCCATGTTTTTAAAATTTAACAAGTACGCCATATGGTAACAACGCGCTATTGTGGACTAAACTGCTCCTGATTATAAGAATTGAACGAAATGAACTCTTTGAGATGGGATATGTTTCAGCCTTGAAAGAGAAAGGGTAAATAGCGAATGAGAGATATTGTAGAAGTTAGTAAAGTAAATAAAGATGAAGATTGGATGGACAGTTTGTTGATTAAGTTACTTTATTTTTTTCACCTAGTGTGGTTCCTTCACGTCCTTGTCAGTTGCGAAAACAAGAGAAAATAGGTTGTAGATGTTTTTCAATAACGAGACATAAATGAGACATTGTTTGAATTGCTTGGGATCTAAGTCCACTGAATAGCTTCAAATAATTTCATATGTTCGGAGATTATAACGGTTTTGACTTTTATGTCAGAGGTATTTCCGTGTAATATGCAAAGATTGCGGCGGGAGTTTTCGTAATGCAAATGAAAATCATTTATGCTTTGCGGGAACAAATGTCTCTCCGATTCCAGATGCGTGAAAATTTAAAATTTATTTTAAGAAGTAGGAGAATCTAGTAGAATCTAAGGAAAATTTAATTTTAATCGCATGATTTCCAATACGGAACTAAGGGGGAGTCGTCGCTAGCAGAGTACAAAGGGGAGACTAAAGAATAACGGTTCTATTGTTTATGTAGTCCAAAGAAATCGGGAAATTGACTGCGCGGTTTCTAAAATGGCTTTTATTTAATGATAGATCGTTTGTCCGAAAGAAAAGTTTGAAGGGCAAGAAAAAATAAGATAGAATTGACACACATTGAACATGCTAAAGGCTAATTCGAAACGGATGGTCGATAGTCACTGCACGCGAAAAAAAGAGAAATACGGAATATGTAGGAAATTTTCTCTTGTTATTATATGTTTGCAAAAAGAGCGAGACCTTTAGTCAAAAAAATTTATTTTAAATTTAGAATTCAAATTTCGAATAACTGTGACTGCAATGAAAGGTCCTTATTTGCCGATCACTTGAAAGCGCAAAACAATTTTTTTCTCAATGACTAAAAACAACAAAAAAATGTATATTTTAAAAAAAGAAAGTAACAATTTCTTGAATATTCCAATATCTTGACATTTTAATAAGCATGCTCGTTATCTAGCACTTTACTTTAATAAATCAAAATTGTCGATTCATGTTGGCAATTCGTAACCGTATAGCGATCAATTTGGCTCGTCACGATTGAGTAAATTTAATTTTTTAAAAGAGAAGACAATGTAGGTGAAGAATTAAAGATCACAACCAGCTGCCGTTCGAATGAAACTGAGAGAAATTAAGGAGGATGGAATGATGAATAAATATTAAAATGGATTTCTATTGGTGTGTTAGCT